ACGGACCATGTGGCATTAAGATGGTTGATGAAGCTGCAGGAACCGTCCGGTCGGCTTGCTCGTTGGGTTATGGAGTTGCAACAGCATGATTTCGAGATCCGGTACCGTAAGGGTACGTTGAATCGTGTTGCAGATGCTCTCTCCCGTCAGCCCGTGGGTGGTGAAGATGACGATACCCCGGCTGACGTAGCTGTGATGGGAGGAGACCCACGAGAGGCCGCATTAGAGACCGAGGGTATGCAGCCAGAAGATGGCACATGGTACCAGCGCACTAAAGAGTGTGTGTCGTCCAATCCCAGACGTGTCCCGAGTTATTGTATTAGGGATGGGGAGTTATACAGGCGTCTTGGGAAAGATAATACTGATGAAGGCGGAGTGGTATGGAGGACTTGTGTACCACCATCTAAGGTTAAGGATGTGTTGGTAGAGAACCATGACTCTCCTATGGCGGGCCACCTGGGAGTTAAGAAAACAATTGCCCGGGTTGGGGAAAACTATTTCTGGCCGGGTTGGCGTCGTGCCGTGAAAGAATACGTTAGGTCCTGTGCCACGTGCCAGGAGTTTAAGGTATTGCAGCAGAAACCGGCAGGACAAATGTACTTTCGAAACCCTCAAGGGCCTTGGCATTCGGTGTCGGTCGACTTGATGGGTCCATTCCCCAGATCCAAAGGTGGGCATCGTTTTCTTGCAGTTTTCCAGGACCTGTTTAGCAAGTGGGTTGAAATAAGACCCCTGCGGTCAGCTACGGCCAAGGCTGTAGCTAGTGCATTCAAGGACGGGCTATTGCTGCGTTTTGGTGCCCCTGTGATTCTTATGAGTGACAATGGAACCCAGTTCGTCTCTAAGGTGTTCCGAGACCTGACGAAAGAGTGGGGAATCGAGTTCCGACAGACTGCCCCTTACAGCCCACAGTCCAATCCGGTTGAACGGCCAAACCGGGTTATCAAAACTATGATAGCCCAGTTTGTTCAGGATAATCATCGTACTTGGGATGCACTCATTGCCGAGTTCCAGTACGCGATGAACACCGCCGTTCACGACTCCACTGGGTTTTCACCTGCCAAACTGTGTTTTGGGAGAGATCTCAGGCTACCTAGGGCAATCGGGTCGTCTCTGACCACAGGACCGGAGCCTGGAGATGACCGTGAGAGAACCGTGGACGAGGTATTTAGTGACCGGGAGCAGGCGTTTAAGAGGTTGTACGATAGTTGTCGACAGAACTTGAGGAGGGCTTTCCAGCGCCAGTCTAAATATTATAATCTTAGACGGCGTGAGGTACAATACCATCGAGGTGATCAAGTTATGAGAAGACTACATGTCTTGTCCTCAGCGGCTGAAGCTATAGTGGGCAAACTGCCCCCTAAGTTTCAGGGTCCTTGTACCGTGGTCAAGCGAGTGGCCCCTAATATGTATGAGGTAAAGGACGAGGGTAGGAGAGAGACCCATGTCGTCCATGTTAAAGACCTTAAGACCTACCATGAAAGAACCGATGCTTAGTTATTCTTGGTTATGCATGGTGGTGGTTAGTTAGATAGCATTTTTGTGCTTGCTATTCTTTTGATGTTTTGTTTAATCAAGTGGTTTTGTTTTTGTTTTGCTTTGAGACCCGTGGTAAAAGAGGAATCATTGGGTTGAGAGCCGGAGTATTTTGTTTTGGCCGGAGTTCAAAGATTTTTTTTCTTTTGGCCGTTTTCTTTTTTTTCATCCCGATGTAAGTGGGGGGTGTAACGAGTTATTTTCCCTAGGGGGGTATATTTTTGCTATTTGGCAGGTGCTAGAGCGCAAATAATATAATTTAATTGACTGTAGTAGATATTATTTTGCGTTGTACCTAGAGTTAGTTATATTACTAATAACTCTGAGGCCCACAAACCTAGGCTGCACGATTTAGCGTGCGTAGTTGGAAGCACGAGGCCAGTAGGCTAGTAGCTAGTTTTATTAGCCTATTAACAGAAGCCCGGCTAAGCAATATAACGTTGATATAGTAGCAGTAGTGGTAGTAGCAGTAGGGTTAGTATTGATTAATCATTTAATTAGTTTAATTTAACCTGAACAGCTTGCTTAATCCAACACGTTAGCTTGGTAGCTTGGATAGCGGAGTACCGGCTATCAGATAATATATTTATCTAGTGTTTGGAACGTAGTTAATATTTATTTATCTGCTACTAAGTAGCTCAATATTTTAATAGTGCAATTGCCATTTAGTTTTGCTTGTTTGGCTTGGTATTTATTGAGACCAGCTACTAGTGGTGTAGTCACTCTACCTGTAGTGTACTTGTATATTATTATGTGGTACGATTATTAAAGTGAACTGTTGATTCTTAGCTTGGGCATTAGAGTTGTGTATTGGATTATAGTGGCCTAGTAGACCCCGCCTGGTGATAACACGCGTTGTGGTTTTTATTGGCAAGTCGTCGTGTAACTCACCGTGTTTTAGGCACTCTGGGCTTAACTATTGGATAGTTAGGACGAAGCCCGAGTTGCGTAGTCAGCAACGACCCCCTAGGAGAGTGGAGAATCGGCGTAGGCCTGGTAGTGATTATTGCACGTTTGTTTTGGTGACTTGTTTTTTACTTGTTCACAGTGCCCGTGTATGAGCCAGTCCTATACCGGTTAGACCCGGCTATTGGCCTAGTGGTTTCCCTGACCTTATCGCAGACCCTGGAACTTTACCCAGCCATCGTAGGCTGAGCTATCCCCGGCAAACGTTTGCGACTGCTGCACTTTTAATATTTTTTTTTTCAGTGCAGAGAACATCGTCGCAAGGCTAGTGTAATTCTTGGTTCATCAAGGTTCTACTGAATTATGTTTGGCAGTGAATAAGTGTAGAATGAAATTTATAAATTCAGGGATACACACCTTTTACAGAGTTATAAAGCCTAATTGCTCTAATTAACTTGCCACAACATCAAATCTAGAGCCCAGTTTAGTGTATTAGTGATGTTTTCTAAACTTGGCAAACCCCAAGAATGCCACTTAAGGCCAATAATCTGTTCCAAAAACGTAAGGAAATACAATGTGAAAATAAAATTGAGATAGAAATCCTTGTCTTGTGAGAACCAGGAAACAACATAAAACATAACCTCAAGTAAACAAACCCAAACGTTTTGACATCAGTCCTGCTGAGCTTAAGTGTTGTGTGAAGATTTCGGCTGCTAGTGTACTTAATTCAAGCAACCAACTTTTGAAAATAGATGTTGTGAATTGTGATTTTCAAGAGAGAAAAACTGTGGACGTGGCTAATTTGAAATTGTAAGATTCAAAATCGCCATTCATGTTTATTTACACAGCTTTACAGTGTTTTATATGTTAAAAATGCATATGCAGCTTATTATTAACCGCGTCGAACTATCCGAATCCGAAAATATCCGAATCCGAACCTCCCAATATCCGATCTGATCTGAACCGAGCCTCAACTATCCGATCCGAAATGAAATTTCACTATCCGCACACCTCTACTTCATACATACTGTTAAACTAAGAAAGAAACACTAGATTATTAAAAAAAAAGTAAAGATACCTTCGTCTTTGTCTGAAGGAGAAGTGACTTAAGTGAAGTTAAAAAACAGTCACATGGCACATCTCTAGGCACTTTGCACCCAAGTAAAAACGCTACAGAATTTGTGCCAGGCACCTATTTTTTATCATGTGCCCTTGACTTGTTTGAATAGAAACACACTTTTGTGATTACTTCAAAATTCAATATTAACAACAAAACAAACCAAATCAAGCGTTAAACATTTCCAAAATGTAAAACTTGTCGCTTAAAGCTTAGAAATCACTCCAGTAAAGTATAAACTCACACAAAAAAACATACAGTTTTAAAAATCTCTCCAGGCCACTGCTGGGAACCAAACGTCTGAAACTGAATTAATTGTTTAGTTAAATATAAAACATGAAAAATACAAAAAATAAAGTTAGTTAAGTTGTTTATTAAAAATTTATTGTTCTTAAAACAATATAAATGCCAAATTTTCATTACAACATTTTTGGCTCAACATAGCCTATAATTTTGTAATTAATTTGATCAAAATTGGCAAATCAGTTTATTTCATACTACACAATAAATATATTACAAAAAAAAACCTTTTTCCTCCTTATATCAGCGAACCCAAGTATCATTAATCCTATTGTTATTTGAATCAGGAATAAATTTGACATTTCCAATCAGACAAATGAAAATTCTGTAGTCTACAGGTTTACTGTGGCGGGAGTAGTGATGTTAGATACCGTGATTTAAAAATATCGGTGACTTCGTTCCAGTGACAAAGAAATATCGGGGGAAAATATCGGTGACTGAAATATCGGTGACAGCTTTTAAGACCGCACTGGTTTGTCACTGGGGCATTTACTATCGATGCTGTGGCGATACGTCCCTTGACGATTTAGAATCAGCTGTTTGTCACTGAATTTTAAATATTTTGGTCAATTAGGTACCAGTACCTTTGCTTTGGGGTTTTAAAGGAACTTCTACTTGTTTGCCTACACTTTGTGAAATAAAATATATAGTAGTATTGACAAACTAATAAACTTTGGTTTGATATTAATTAAAATTAAAAATATATATAGGCGGTCCATAGATACTAATAGACATAATAGGCCTAGTTGAGGTTAATATTGGCATATGAAAGCATTTAGAATACGTTGAGTTTGAATAATGTTGGTTGGCGTTGTTGTCCGAAAATATTGTGTATTGTCTAGTGTCGGATGTGAGGTGGTTGGTTATGCAGGGATTGGTTGATACGTGAATACGCGGGCACCTCGTCACAGGTGATTTTGTAACAGATTCTGATATCGTCAGAGAGAACAGTCTGCTGACTCGCCCCTCCCTCCAAGCCGCCGCGCCATCGCCGAGGAGCGACTTGCCGCTGTCACCGATATTCCAGTCACTGTATTTTCGAGCCTCTTGTCACCGATATTTCAATGACAAGCAGGTATCGGTGACTCTGTCACCGATATCAAAATATCGAATATCCCTAGGCGGGAGTACGTCAACTTACCCTCTCTATCTCATCGTCGGGCAGTTTCTGCGCCCTCAGTTCGGAGATGAGCCTCTCCCGGAAGTGTAGGAACCACCCACGAGTCTCCCTCTCCAGAATGGTGACAAGGATGGGCAGTGCGTGTCTCATCACGTCCCTACTGAACAGTCGCAAGTCCAGCTCACTTCCCTGCACAAATAAGTTGAAAGTTTAAATGGTTTTAAACCTTTCATATCCAGCCACCACAGGACCAAGCCCCTGGTCGGATAAAACAACCTGTTATAGTGTTCATAATGTGAAAAAAACTTTAAAAATACATGGTAAGTTCCTGAATAGTGCACAAGAGTTCATAGGGTTTAAATTAGGTTAGATGTGTAGTAAATTATTTCTAGTTAAGATTTACTACAGCACTGATTCTAAGGTGTAGTTATAAAGTAACATTACCTTGGGTGTTAGGAAGAGGTAGGGTATTGGGACGGGAGGGTGACAAGACTCCCTCTCCACCTCAAACTTCTCGGTGGCAGCTCTACGCAGCTGTCTACGGACAAACCCACACAGCGACTCCAGCGAATCTTCAAACTCTGGCTGCGGCAACACACCAAACATATCAGGCATTAGACAAGGTAATTAAAGTACAAAAAAAGAAATACAACTTATGAACATCTCAACTTCTTATACAGTCTATTCTTAGTAATACAAACATTTGATAAATCAACGCTTTCGGTAATTTAAGATAAAAAGCTCGGTACGAAGAAGATCTCTTGATATTTCAAAGTTTTATGTGCATTTTGATAAGCTCAGTATTTTTAAGTCCAAGCAGGTTGCAGTCAGATTTTGAACACCAAGTAATTTAAAGTTTTGTTGGCAGAACTCTTCAATAAATCGAAGGGACAGAGGTGAATTTATAGCTTTATTCCAGTCATGGCAGGAAGTTATACATTCTGTCAGTCCCAGTAGCTTTAGTGATAAGTTAGAGCAGTAATTTAATGATTGATCTAGTTAACACTGTTTGCTTATTGGAATAGCCGCAGAGCCCAGGTATTTAAAAGACAACAAGTCAATGCTATAACTCATCCGTCAAACAAAAAAGGCTTGGATGACAAGTGATTTGTTCAATGAGTAGCAAATTTTATACGGATACAGATATGAAATCATAAAATGATCTTGTCTGTAGCCAATTGTTTGGCCCACAAAAAGGTTCCCCATTTGTCAAATATGAAACTTCAATTTTTTCCACCAAACACGACATCAAAGTTGCAGCCACTTGGCAACAAATTGTGGCTGTAGCTGCTAAATGGGCCTATCTCAAAAACTGATGATTTTAGATAATCCCTTTTTAAGTTTAGAGGTTGGCTGTCAGCGTTGGCAGTCGTGTATGCTTAAAGGGCCTAGTGACACCAGCTGACTTCAAGAGTCATACCAATTAAACAAACTGAAATACATGATTCCAGGTTTTAAAGATTATACTAGAAGTCATGAGAAAGCGAAAAAGTGATTTTCCTTTAAATAGGCCCATTAAAAAAGCCTTTAAAAGCCTCAATTTATAATAAAAAAGCTAATTTAAAAATTTTACTCTTTGTAATTCAAATGGTTTTTTCTCCCATTAAATTGAACCTCTTAATAACTAAAAACTCTTGATAAAAAAATTTATTTGCAGGACCCCAATTAGTCTACTGTACTGTTACAAATATTTTGAAATTATTTTTGGATTTTAATTTTAACACTAGAAAAATTGTTCTATCCAAAATAATGTTTAATCAAACAAAGATACTTCTTTATCATGCCATGTTTTTATTTCCTTATATATTGACTGGATGACTTGAATACTGAGTGTACTTTCTCAAATTCTAATTGCTAATTTGAATTAGTGTCAAGCAACATTTCACGAATTAACCCCTTACAAATCTCCAGATATTCAAACCAGAAGTCAGCTTACCCGACAAACCAGTTCAGCAGCCAGATATCGACACCTTTCTTCCCTCAGTTTGGCCTCCAAGTTGTGAGCTTGAAGGGATGGTACTCCTACCAATATGTCTGAAATTAAGAAACAAAGTTAACACAATAAGCCAGAGAGAAACTATACTATAACATAATTTATGTGCATATATACAAATGTATTTATTTGCTGCTTTGATTACTGGACCCCGAGATGATTAAGATACTCTAGTCAGATTATACTAAATCACTTTTTGTATATAGGATTTTTGTATATAGGGTTGATTCAATAAAATGTTTTAAAAGCCTTACTATAGATAAAATAAATTGAAGGTAACATTTGATTTGAGAGTGGATCACTAAAAAAACTTTCTTTAGTGATCAATCAATAGTTTGACATATCGATAGTATAATGTACACTAACACTATCTTAATAGACAAAATGATTGAATCACTTACTAAACAGCAAAAAATGCAAAAAAGCAGCATTAGCAAAATTGAAAACATGTTGGAAGTCGTTGAGAGGTTATCTTTACATGAAAAGTATTTTACCTACAACCTTTTTTTAAGTAGCCGTTTCAGTTCAGTTCTTAAAATTGAAAAGTTTCTCATAAAAGCATTGTTTGTAATGGTTCAAACTTCAACTAATCAGCTGTTTATGCCAATTTAAGGCCTAATTGTTGAGTGGTGCAATTATTGTTTGGTACAATGTTTTGTTGCATCACTGTCAGTGGTAATGAGGGGTTATAAACAAAAAAATAACCTCTCTTAGAGAAGTTATGAGTAGTGATTTTTTGAAATACCGTAGTGCTAATGACACTCGTAGAAGTCTTTAAGGCACTCGCCAAGGCTCGTACCTTAAATTTTCTACTCGTGTCGTTAACACTATCTTTACGCAATCGTTGCGTAAACTACTATTTGTTTTCTAACATAGTGTGTTGGATAATGTTGCAATATGAAAAAAAAATAGAGCTCATCACACAGGCAATAAGTGTCTTTTCAAACCTCGCTCATTTTCTGACCTCGACTTCACCTCGATCTTGAAAATTGAGCTTGGGTCGAAAAGAGCCACTTTACGCCATAGTTATGAAATATACTATTAAAAAATACTCAACTTACCTAGAAGTTTCAAGGTCCCTGTAATGAGGCTTTTGACAGCTTGAGCGACACTGAAGAAATGACTGGTGAGTCTAGCTCGGGCTGTCACCAAGATGAACCTGAAACAGGCAATAAAGAAATAGTTAAGAACTCACTGACTTAAAGCAGATCAAAGCAAATATTAAATCAATTCAAATATCCATTTAATAAGTTATAGTGGCAAAATTGGTGAATAAATAAACACTACCATTCACCTTTCAGTACTAGGGTCAATGGTCATGGACAAGCTAACCTGGATCTAAGCTATTGTTTACCAGTGCGGTGGCCTGTCCTATAATACTACCACTCAACATCAAGTTTACAATGATCGAATAATAAATACTAGATATTTCAAAAAAATCATGATTTTTAATGGTACACACCAGGCACACCCTGGTGACAACTTGTACTTGTTTTGCCTGACCCGTACAAGAAAAAATCATGATTTATTCATCTTCAAAAGAACGCCATTTTAAAACCAAAAAATGTTTTTCAATAATTATTTTTTGCAATAAGTGTATTCCTACACCAAGTTTTATGAGGTTTTCTTAAATGTTTTTAAAGATATACATTTCTAATAAAGACATATAAGTGGCAGATGTCTTGTTGATTTTTGGAGAAAATTTTTTTACTTAAGGTACTTTTTGATATTTTGACCGATAAAACCGATACCTAAAGTTTTGTACCTATGGGACACCTTATAATTTTCAATGATTGTCAACGAATCATATGGCTCGCAAAGACTTCTAAACCAAAACACCTAGGTCTTACCATGACGACTACGGTAATAGCTGTCTTTTCTATAGAGGAAATTAGCTGAGAAAAGAAAAGAAGTAGAATGTACCTGAGGGCGAGAGCAAGGTCGTCCAGTAACGTCGCTCTAGATCTCTCACAGCCTTTCTGTAACATCCAGCTCAACCTCCATTTGTGAGTCTGTCCAGCGAAGTTGAGACTCGGAACTTCAAACTCCCTGGGAACAGAACAATTAATTAACCTTTGACTAATGAGTGGAACATTTTTCATTTAAGGTAAATTTGTTTCTACCTTCAGATCCTAGGACGCTAGCCTCTAGCTTGGAAACGTTTGATACATTATTTCAGAATAGGCATAGAGCGTTTAATAACATTATTTTTATTAAAATGTATTTTAAGGTTGTGGACCACCATTTAAATAGCTTCTCCACCCTCCGCTTCTGTGCCTAAGAAACCCCAGCTCTAAGTTTAATTTAAGTTGTAATTAAACTCACTACAATTATAAATTTAAGAGAAAGAAGAGCTTAAGAAAATTTTTTGTGGGTTGACTTTTACCTTTTAAATAGTAAAAAAATGTCTTTCCAAAACATTGATAATTTGAAAATTTAATTCCACATAACTTACTGGATTTCTATGTTTTAAAGACAAACATAGATACTTTTATTATTGACGACTTGATCAGCTACAGTATTTACGAACATAATAGGATTGGCCATTAAATCGAGGTCCACAACTCTCAACTAGAACAGAGTTGCTAGTTCAACTCTGAAACTGGCGCTGTGTTTTTAATATACTGCTAGTTTGCTTTAACCCCTATGCGATAAATTTTTGTGTGTTGTAGTCAAAAACAAAGATCCTTAAACTAGTAAAACTGTTTATATTTCTTACCAAGTATCAAACGTGTAGTGTCTTACTTCATATGGCGATTTAAAAAAAAAACATTCATAAAAACACTTACATAACGGAATATTTAACTTATTTGTATGAAAAGTGAATGACATGAAATGGTTCTAAAAGCTAATACCAAATAGTGCCATGCAAAAAGCTTTGGGATAGACATTGCGGCTAAAACACAATAATTTAATGGAGAATGTTAAGAAGACAGAGTCAAAATTAAAAACAGTACACCAAATCTATTTAAAATAATACGTAAGTTTAAACTCATTAATATGTGTCTCCACCAAAGATATAAAATGTCCTGAGGACCTAAATATACATTAGTAGGATATATTTGAACAAAATAACTAAGTTACACTTTTCAATACCTAGCAGTCTAAGTTTATCAATTCATTAAGTGGCAAGACAAAGCCGAGAATGGAAAATGTGTAAGGCTTTAAGACTTTAAGGTATACAATCACACTGCACAAATTATTTAGCTGCACTCTAACATGACTAAAATCCAAATGTTTAACTAATTTACTTTCAACAGTGTAATCCCCACTAATTCTATTACCACTATTATTTTTTTTTATTATTTTACCATCCCCAAAATACTTTTGTATTAGAGATAGTCAGATAACAATTCATATTACTGCTGTTTTAATTGATTTTAGTCACCAATATTCACAACACGTTTTCAATTCTTTGAAAATGTAAGTAAGTAAAATATTTCATCATTGCATCCATGCTAAGAGTCTTGTATCATTAACAATTATTAATTAATTGGTTGTAACCAAAAGCATTCAGTTAGCATTTCAATGCAGTACAATGGAAAAAATTATACTTGACATTTAAAGAAGAAGACCTGATACAGTTGAGAAGCTCGCTACTACTCAACTACTTAACTCATCTAACCAATATTCGCATTATTATTTTTTAAAGTTAGGCCTAAAACCTCAAAATGTATGGTACCAGGAATATAAAAAAATAGTGTCTATTAAATATTCAAAGTACACTGAATAATCCTATTCATCTTCCACACTGATAGGGACCTTGAAAAAAACTTACAACTCGCCACATATTTACCCAAAAAACGTCATAAATAAATAAGAAGAAAAACAAACATGCGTGACTCATGCTTTAGCCAGCTGTCAGCCGAGGTGCCCACTATTACTCCGCACATACCCAGTCCGACGAATAGTTTCCAGCTGATTCCCTGTCAGCCGTTTAGGTTTCCCATACTTGTCCTTGTGCAGACTTGTGGACAAAAAATCAGCTGACTTACAGTACTACCAACATTGTACTACATCCAACAAAAATGTACCTCCTTTTTTGAAGAGGAGATAAAAGTAAGGGAAGGATGACCGAACTGCCAATATTCTACTATGTCCAAACAAAATTTCCCTTTGTTTCCACTAGTGTTCTTGGCATAACAAAGGAGAAAAAGTTGGAAAAGGATTACATTACTACCAACATTGTACAATACCCAACAAAATGGACCTCATTTTCCAATCAATGTGTTCTTGGTATAGAGAAAAAATATAAGGATTCCAGTACAGCCAACATTGTATTATATCCTACAGAATTTATCTCCTTTGACATTACTCAATACTGAGGTCTTAGCATAGGAGGAATAAAAAGAAAGGAATAGATTACAGTACAGGACTGCCATTATTGTACTTTGCCCAACCAAATTTACCTCATTTTACACTTACTGTCCTTGGGCATTGTGGTGGAGGTTAAGTAAGGAAAGGTACAACATTGTGATAAATCCAAGAAATTTAATTCTTCCTTGTGAAAATATGCGCTCTTGTCTTAAAATAAGTAGGAAAATGGTTAAGCTACTACCAAATTTAAATTATATCGAAAAACATTTAAAATCTTTCCTTGTCAAAACCCGTGCTCCGGGCTTAGAATAAAACTTAAATAGAAATATTATTAACAGTGTTTTCAAAACCATTGTCTGGCTTCTCACATCAAAATTTGGATAAACAGTTCTTAAAATATGTACAAATTAAGTAATTAATATTACATAGCCATTAACATTATACAATAGTATGGTATGTAATCTAACAAAAATATTACAGTATGTTAAATTATTTAGTTTCTAAAGTACAATAAAATCAACAGTCACGTTCAGCTTAAAATCCCAGAAAATTTGTTGAATAAGAGAAGACTTAGGTTTTTAAAAACCTGAGCATATTCTAGGTATATGTAAATCGGATACAAGTTCTCAATCAATGAATACTGAGGATATTGAAAAAACACATTTCCTAAGATCGACAATGAATTAAGTTTAAGCTACTTTACCTACTCAAAATTTGTAACTTAATTTAACAAAGAAACCATTTTTAAAATGCAACAATATACAATCTCAAAGTAATATTAACTTTGTGGACCTCTCTTTTTTTAGTTTTATTTTTTCAAAGAACTGAAAAAAACTATTCTATCAGCAGTTTGTGCTGAAACAATCATCCAGTTATAGCTCTAAGCTGAAAATGATCTTTGAATTCCAAAATAAATCACTAACTGGGCAAAAAAAGCCTGCAACCCTTTGAGCTCAAAAGGTTATTGATGGTTTTAACTGAATACTTTTCCACCTTAAACTCATTTTTATAACCAGCTCGACTGTTTATTTGAGGAAATCCTTTCGCATAAAGTCAATCAATCAATCAAATCTTTTATTGTAGTCAGACAATATACATTGTATTACAAACGTCAACTTAAATTACTTCTAAATATAAACATAATATAATGCAAATGAAATAACAAAACTGGTACTATAACACTGATAACACATGAAAGTAATAGAGAGCAGGTGAACTTAGCTTAAAACTTTTTTTTATAAATTGGGCTGTTCAAAAAATTCAGCAACAGAGTAACATGCACGTTCTAAAAGGTATTCTTTTAACTTAATTTTGAATTTCGCTTCTGACGTTAAGGATTGTAGATTGGCTGGAAGTTTGTTAAAAAAAGAAGATGCACCACTCTACTAGCAAACGTGCGAGAGGTTTTAGTTTTGTTTGGGATACAAGGAATAGAAAAAAGAAGGGGGAAGGGGGCAGTTACTTCTTTTGCCAGCGGTTACTTTAGACGTGTTGTTGTACGCCTAACAATCATGGAGATAATTCCCAAAAACTGTAATTTTGAAATTGTGTATGTTATTGTTATGGAGAATAGGTAAACAGTTGCAATTGTCTTGTTAATGGAGATATTTTTTATTTAATTTGACTAATTCATTGATTTAATGCAAAGCTTTTAAAATTTTACTAAAAACACACTCTAATAGGTTTCTCTGCAGCAAAAAACTTAAGTACTCATGAAACCTAATGTTATCGACATAGAAAGTAAACCTGATATTTTGAAGGATATGTGAAAACTCAATCAGGCAAATGGAAATTCGCTTAGTCTGCAGGTTTGCTACGGCAGGTGTATTTGAGTCTGATATACCAGCCTTTTGAGCTCAAAGGTACGTAAGTATTTCAAACCATAAAAATATATTTTAAACTTCAAAATGATTTAATTTCTTTATAAAACTGTGAAATCACAATAGTGCTTTCTACACTAAAAGCTTGTGAAAGTGCATCAAAATACTGCACTAGCGATGTGAATGACTATTGAAATACTAAAGACTATGGATAGTGACTTGATGAGTTTAATTTCTACGTTATGACAATGAATTATGTTTGTAATCACTTCTTAGCATAGCTTAAAATAAACATTACCATGATAAAGCTTTTGAGTTAGAAGTAAACAAGCTTAAATCCATAGACAAGTTTTGGAACATTTGTGAAGTATAATACAAAGCAAGCAGCATTGCGCTGATGAAAAGTGCTGCTGATATCAAGAATATTTCTTTAGTATAATTTTGTATATTTTTAACTACTACACAACTTTTCTGTTTTATCAAACTTGTACTATTTATATCAGGGTTGTTTTACAAATTGTTGATTTTTTTAAGAAAGCTTTGTAGGCTGATGTGTTATAAATCAATTGCAAGATATTGCTACCACAAAATGTTGCGAGAAAAAAATCCAAAATGCAAGATTAAAAACAGTAGAACTGCAGCAGTCTCGAAAGTGCATATTTGATCTAAATGTATATATTAAGCTTTCCAATTAATTAAAACTATAATATACATGTACTTAATTATATTATATGCATAATTTTTTTACTTAATGCAAGAGAAAAACCTCATTGGTGTTGAAGTTGTTAACCAAATTTTAGTCATCGAAACTATTTCCTCCCTGAAAGTGTTATTTTATAGAAAGTTTGAGCTAACAACATATTGAAATACTGTTGAAATAATTGGCCATTATTCATACAACATTTTGTGTAACCATTTGATTGTGTGCATTGAAAACTTTTACTATTGACTTTGGATACTTCAAGTAAACATCTCATCCGATTGTAAAGTCTAATGTCTGTATTATTGAAAGTGATGTATGTTTTGATATTTTGTAATGCTTGAACATATTAATGTAGACTTAACGTATGCTCTTTACTCTTAGGTCAGTTATATTCTCTTTGATCTGTATAATATCCACACTCTTAAACCTTACATAAACTCAAAATGTATTTTAGGTATATATATATTTTTTTGTTACTGTTGTTATCAATATCTGTTAAGGTTAGTGTGTAAAAATAAAGTGCACTGTTGTAAATTATGATTATCTTATACACCAACTATTTCATTGGAACTAAGAGACTAACTATTTTAAAATAATTATTATCATACCATCTTTTATATGAGGTGATATTTTATTTGTTTGGTACCATTTTTTATGTCTTCAAGCATCATACATGATATTAGAATAATCTAATAGATATGGTATGATTTTTATGGTATTAAACTTTGTTAAAGATGCAAATTTAAAAATTTTCTCTTAAAATAAATAACTAGCGAAATAGCTGGTACATATAGATGGGAAGTCTACTTTATAATCCAAGTCAAAGCTTTGATCCACAAATCTTTTACAGAATGTGTTACAAGTTCATCAAATGAATGCACACACTAACTATGATGACATATTCAAGTTGTTTACTTTATCTCCTTCAAACTTGTCCAGTCAAACATTACGTTTCGTATTATTTACATTCCCAGATCCCCGCGTAAATTGAGAGCTATGAATTTCTCTAGATATAATATTCGTTAGTATAATATTTAACAATTGAAGAGTACAGGTTTTACATGAGCTAGGTTAGTGTCTTTGACGTAATAAATAATGATTTTTTTTTACCTTTATAAAAGGCTTTATAAAGCCAAATTTTTATAATAGCTGGTAAGTATATTTTTCTGTATTTCTCTTATAAAGTAATAGTACTGTAGCCTATATTTAGAACTGTCTATCTTTAAAAAATATTGTTAATTTGATGCATGTAGGCCTACCTGCTATTATTCTGTTTTTTTTTCTTTTCACATAAATACTACAAAAAAACTACCCTTATTTTGTTATTGTTTATTTTTAAGAAAAACTGTTAATTAAACTGTATGAAATGAAAGGTGTAATAAATTAGACTCTGCTAATATCCCTTAATGCAAACTGTTCAATTTAAAACCATTAAATCCTTGTAAGCCTTATCTTATTGACAATAAACTAAATAACTACCTATTCCCAAAATTATGTAAGGAACAGTAAATAAAAAAGCACAGGCTTAATTCTGCTCCCCTGTGCTCTCCTCAACTTCCTCAATTGAATTATCTTAGAAGGAGTGTTGAAAGCATCGAGACTCACCCTCTCTCTCTAAGGCTCTCCAGCTGTTTTCCGGTGAGTCGTCTTGGTTCTCCGCTAGAATCCACGGCGACCGCGTCAAGCTCGTCAAAACTGGGGGCGACGAAAAGATCACGAAGGTTGGTTGGTCGGTGCTGCCTTCTCGCCAGCGTGCAGCATGTGTCACCTCCTGGAGTGAAAAATTAATTCCTATTATAAAAGAATATATCTTTCCACAAAACATTTGTGTTCTTCTAATACCCTGCATTACAAAATAATACTAAATACAGTGTAAAATATGCAAAACAGCTACAGCAGCAAATATTGTGATGTTTATCTACGTATTAGAAAGTATATTAAATAATTCACAAGATATTTTGTTGTCAGCGGACAAAAGTAATTTTGTTGACTTTGCACAACATAGTTCACAGTCAAATGAAATTTAGTTCAAATTAAAACTCCTAGATAACTCTAGCTATAGTTATAGTAAAATTTAAAAAGTTAAGAAAATTTAGATTTTTGTTACAAATAGAAACATTTAAAAATAAATAATAAATTAATTATAGATAATACATTACAAATTGGGTATTCAGGACCGAATGGGGCTCAAATAGAGTTACTTTTCCAGAAGATATATATCTAGGTAGATACAAGTTATAATTAATTTACAAGGTGTTTCGCCAGGTATTACCAGTGATGTAAGGTATGTCGGCATTGTTGGTGTTATTGTGAGTGTGGGCAGGACCTGTAGCATTGACTGGAGCTGGCAGAATAATAGGGAACGTCTTCCAGTGGTACAGGAATTGCTCCCCTACCTGCAAACAACACCCATAAACTATTCATATAATAATAATCCATAATAATATTTATAATTCATTATTATATTTATTCATAATAATCAAATTACGTCAAATATTTGAGGAGCAATTGGTTAGTGACACTTGGATTAATTGCAACAAGTACAAACAAAACTATTTTATCTGACAAATTCATTACCAAGCAGTATGATAGTAACCAAGTTAGTAAAAGTCCAAGTAACAAATCTACATGACTCGGAACATATATAGCAAAGCAAGGAAAGAGTCTATACATTACAAGTATGAACTGCACTGATAGAATTTAGTGGCCGGCACCAGAAAGCAAACCTATACATCGCTGTAATGAATTCTTAGTCTGTCATTCTACCAACTTAGCCTCCCACTTACTAATTTAGATCACTTATCAATTAGCTTTTATTGTAAGGTAGTGTATGAAATATCATCAATGAATTTTAATAGCAAAAGACAGTCTATTATAAACATTCCAGGCTGTCTTATTTTTCTAACAATAAACATAAAAACATATATTATGCTATAGCCTGTATAATGGAACCTGTCTCCAAGCCCTTCGCCTACCTGGGAGATGGTTTAAGGCCTGAGCCAGTCCCAGGTAGACGGAGGGTCAGGAGGCACATTCCATTATACAGGCTATAATATCCATTCACCATTTGTCCTATGGTTTGTGCCTTTCTTCATTGTGTAACCACCATAACAAACTGGGATACAATACTTAAAGTTCCAAATATAGCAATCACGATCATTTTGAAATTAAAACACAAACAGGGGCCAAAAACTAATTCAAAGAACTTAAAATCTTAAATCGACACAATATTCTAGCCAAAAATTGTTTAAACAACTTGAGAAAAATCATCACCCAAACAAAGCTTGGCATAAAAAATTCCTTATTTCAAATTAACATAAATTACATTTTTTTTTTCAAAACATCCTATATAGGATTGAAATTTGTTAAGCAGCTCCCCAGTAAAATTATAAATTAACAAAGCCATAAAAGTCTCATAAAAAGAACTAAAAGTTTATTTGGTAGAGAAAGATTTTATTCCCTGAAGGAGTACTTTTCCATATCTTTTATTAGCATTTGTTACAATTGTTTTAGTTTTTAAACATTTTCATTTACCCTAAAATAATAGAAACAAAATTAGCCTATGTCAACACTAGCGCCCAGTGTCACCAACATGAACTAGACGTGAAAAAAGCTTAAGATTTTACGATGGGGTGAGAAGTCTACTTGTTGGTTATTGTATGGTAAAATATTAGTTTCAAGTTTTAAAATGAAATATGGCAGTTTTCACCATTAAAAAATATCAACAAGAAAAGAACACCATTAACAGCTTGTATTTCAAAGTGGTTATCACTTATTCATCCCCCCACACTCTTCCCCCATCATCCCTCTCAAATTCTTAATTATTCCTCACCCCTCCTCCACCCCTCTTCTAAGCCTTCCTTTGTCGAAACACACAGTTTTTTCCTCCCAACCACTCTGAATAACCAATGTTTACATAAACGGAACTCTTCCAGAGAAAACTTCATTTGAATCTCAAACTGTTCATTGCTTACAAAGTGCTTCCCGTTAAGCTGTGTTTAAAGTTAAAAGTTTTGTAGAAATTGCAGCCAAAGCAACACAACGTTTATTTTTAATTTTTAGTTTGTTTCCGTTTTTAATAAAATATCTGTCTTATCTTGACTTTTTTTAAAGAGTTCTAGATGTCTAACAAATAATAATCATCAATCCAGTTGTTCATTTTTATTTTGTAAACTAAAAAATCATTTAGGCTAGTTAACAAAATATCACAATAATAACAAAATTTCATTCCTTATCTCAATCACTTGTAACTAAACAACTTAAGAAGATCAATATGCTGAAATACTATTAATATTTCACTTATAAAAAAAATCATATATATAGTAGGGTTTACATTTTTGATGGGTTTTATAACTAATAAAAGAGGTATTCTTTTAAAGTCTTTCTAATTTTTAAAGGTAAAAATAAAAAAAAAACCAAAATATTTAATGCATATTTGTATTCATAATAGAGACTGAATCCATAACGGATTAGATGAGACCATGGGCTCAGTCAATAGAACAATGGACTAAAATCCTATGTCCCAGCAGTGTCCTGGGTTCGTCTTGATTGTGCTGGGCTGACAGCCTGTCTTGATATGTTTCAAGCACAGGCCAGAGGCCCATGTGGACAGGCAAATGCATGGATAAAAGTGGCTGTCAACCTCTTTAAATTTTACTGTTGAGTTTTCCTACAGTATACGGCAATATAATACACAATATGTCATTCTCTCATGGCAAACTAATAAAAAAAAATCAAAGCTATTTGTTTACTTCATTTACTTATTTGGTACATCGAACAAACCAAACCTATTTCGTTCCTAAATGGGAAGTAAATTATGAATGGATTGGTAAATTCACCACCTCCTTAGGACTACCTCTAATAGTTATGACCCGTCTAAATATCTAGTTTCAACCAGCATGGGGCAGGAAGCAGGAAATGTCTGACAAGATAATGGGTGCAATAAACAGCTGGGCCCATCAGCTGGTTATTTACACTAACAGTGTTGCCAACGTTGTTTGTTGGCATGACAAACCTGCAACATTGTTTGTTTACAGCCAGTCATGATTTAGGTTGGTACTCCCGTTTGTTGGCATTTGGCCCTGTTATTTGTTCTGGTATTCTACATGTTTAAAACCATTGTCCTAGTGCAACAAAGTAACCTATAGGAAAATATTGGTGTGCTTTAAGATGGTACTGACTATCGTCATTCGTATAGATAAAATTTTACATTTTACGATTTAACCCTTGAAATTTCAATACGCAAAGTTTCTATTAATACCTTGAATTGCTTATGTCTGAAGAAATTAATCCTTGGGTGTTTGCAGTACAAACCACTCTTACACCTCATGGAACTTAACAATTAAAAATGAGGAATGTCTCCACACTAACATACACTCTCCTTTTCTTTAAGGGTCGTTAAATTTGATCATGTGTGACCTCTCCTACCGTTGGAATGAAAGTAACTTATTAGTTAAACCTCTTGGTTAGGTAAGGAATTAAATATTTTACTAGTAATGAAATATTCATATTAGTTTGGATTTTATATTAACAAATCTGATGTTGATGAAAAATAGGTTTATTTTGTTACTCTATGCCATATTATATATACCTACCAATAATATATTTTATTAACAATAATATTACTTTGTTAGCCCATATATACTACAATTGTCATTAAAAAAAATAAATTTAGAGATATGGAAGTATAATTCTTATTACAAAAATGTATATTGACTGGATTCTGTGAATACGCAAAGCACAGGACTTTGACTTAACTCAAAACTGTGATAGAAAATTATGTATACGACATTTCCAGTAAGTTCAATTAATAAATAAAGAACAGGGAATCCAATATTTCTTAAAAGGTGCATTATTATGTAAGACTGTGTACATTTTTAAAAGTAAAAATGTAATTTTTTCAAAAAATAACACTCACTTCTTTGATATTATTCACCAGCTGCACCACCTCCTCCGGAGCCCCTGTCAGGTGAGAAGTCTCAAACTTGAGAGGTTCTTTCTGCAACACAACAAATAAGTGTTACACTTCCATACTAAAATAACAAAGACAAATAATACATACACATTTTAAAAATTGTTTTATTCATGGGTAGGGAGCAATCCTTATATATAATACGTGAAGGCAATTTCTACGAAACACTACTCCTCCGTTCATAATGGACGGATTTTTACAAACAATGTGTCAAAATTAAGTATTTTTTGTGTGGACCCCTTTTACCAATTCCTGTAATTAAAGTCCTCAGGCTTTGCCCCACAGGCCATCAAAACCCCAATGTATTTCTTCTGAAGAATAGATTTTGTTTACTTAAACAGACCAATAATTTTTTATTAATTGCATACTAAAACAGCTGTTCATAGTAACACGTGATACACACAAGAGCGTTTGTTTTCATATGATCCACAAAATCATCAATTATTTTGTCTTTCAATATTGAAATTAATACCTAGGCTAATAAAAACCTAACTAGTAGAGTAGTGGTTTTTAAAAAATCAGAAAATGTATGCATAAACATTATGATATTTAATATCATGAGAAAATAAGTCTATACTTTTTTCCAAACCAAAACATTCACACGTTTTGTACATTAAAAAACCTCAACAACAAAATAATATGTAATACACTTTTAAAACTGCATTCTTAAAAAAGTATATTGATAATTATTTTTCAGATGTTTTCAAGTGAGTAGACTGTAGGTATGTTTGTACCATCCGGCTAAATACATAATGTATCATAAGCGATGTGTTAGGCTGATGTGGTGTCATGTTGGCATGAATTATTTACAATGCTCCCAACCTTGTTGTTAAAAATAAAACTTTCAACTTGCATATTTTTAAATATTTATTTGTTGTTCTTGAACAAACCTTAATATTTGAATTCAATTAATATACCAAAATCATGGTGTGGTAAAAAATTATAATAACAATATTATTAAGCGATTTGGTCACATGAGTAAAGGGAGTAAATGGACAATATTATGATTGTAAATAATTTAATTTAGCATATTAATTGCTTGTTATATATCTTCTGTAAACAAAAGGGTACCAATATTACTGTAAATAAATCACTAAACTGCCTGGATGGCCGAGTAAATAGTACTGGCATTCAAAATGGAAGTTTACTGGTTCGATCCAAAGCTTGCTCCATTCTGTAATCTGACATAATTATTGGTCATTGGGCTACCAATTAATGAACCTATCTAATAAAAGATTGATTTTTTATATAAATACCCCCGCCGCAGCAAACCTGCCGACTAAGCGAATTTCCATTTGTCTGAATTGATTTTCAGTTAAATATATTTTAATAGCATTAGGGGTAATGAGTACCTAGGTTTGCTGCTACAAGGAAACTAATAAAGTGTTTTTAGTAAAATATTGATAGCTTAGTACAAAATAAATAAATTTGCCAAGTTTGATCAAAATATATCCATAAACAAGCAAACTACAACATTTGATAATATTTCCATAAGAATAACATGGGAATTTTAAATTTACAATTTTTTTAAATTTTCTCCGTTACTAATAACCAAACAAAAATACTTTTTTAAACTAAATGATTTGTTTTTTTAAGCTCTTTAAAAAGGTCTAAAGAGAAATTGGGAAATTTTGTGTTTTGAGGGTCAAAAGTGAGAAAAACCAATTTTTACCCCATAAAACCCCCCGTAAAGCCTCGTTCCCATGGTCCGATCATGCTGGTTCGCGAACTCATTCAAGTTTATCCTGCTTTACACCTTTAAACCAAATTTCATCAAAATCGGACAAAAATTACTCAAGTTATCGCGTTCACGGACGTATATATATATATAAATCTATATATATATATATACATATATAAAAATTTGAACGAATGGTGTTTTTGGCCTCTGGGGACATCAAAATGAAAAAGTAAATCGGTCCCGGGTCTAGGTCTTACCGTGCCACCTACGGTAATAGCTACTTCCCTATAGGGAAATTCGCTAAAAAAGACTAGGGTTTGAAACGTTTTGTTACAAAAAACTAAAAAATACCAAAATAAGTTAAACACAATAAAATAAAAAAGTTACTAATAATTTGTAGAACTTGGGTGCAAAAGTGAACATTTTAGGGTAATATTATTTTATGCATTTGAATCTCTGAAAAACTGAATACTATTTTCAACTAAGTGTTTTTATACTTTACAGATATTTTGTAATTTTTTACTAAAGTAATACAATAGTAAAGAACTTGTTTGGTTTGCAGCTTTGTAACTATGAACCTATCAATGAGCCGAGATGTTTAAATATCTGCACCATTAAACTTATAAATTAAAGTGTTGACATGAAATTTAAGTCAAATGTCTGAATGCTGTCCTGTATGACTACTGCAGTAGCTAAGTTTGTACAAGCAGGTCAAAGTTTAACGTGACCTGCAAAGTTCCTTTGTAACTCTTCAACCACAATTTTACTAAAAACAGGAACACAATTTTTTAAATTTCATCTCATAAAATCATATTCTCCTACCACGGCATGGAGATGATCACATTGCCATACATGTACAGTACCCAAAATTGCTTAGAGCGAGAATGGATCATTCCGGCTCGCTAACTCAGCCGATTTCCCAGTTGCCGTTTCTAGACCAACCACAGCCACCGATTCAGTATGTTAGTTAACAACCGACTATAAATAATATAACCTTTAAAAAGCTAACATAACCTAAAAGAGGTTCTATATAAATCTAAAAACCTAATCTCTGTGCTATTATAAGTGGAGGTGGTAGGAAAAATCTTGTGTGTATTACGAGCACAAACAATCATTGCCACTCAAGAAATGTATGGCTGCAGACAAAACAAGCTACTAATTAATAACTACTTTTACTGCAAAATATTATCTTGTTGTAAATCTTAAACATTTCACCTATTGGGTTTGATGATTGGAGTGTCCAATCGAAATCCATCACCACTTACCATATCTGTTTTATGTATTTACTGTCTTCTGAGTTAACAGTACAAGAGTAAATGTATGTTTCAAGAGTGTTATTAGACGTATTTTTATTTATTAAATTGAGTAAACTGAGTATGATCCAAGATTTCCTGAAAGCAGTGCATTATCACTCCATTATCAAACAAGAGAGAATACAGAACAAGCCCCATGAGAGGTTACCCTTCATAAATTAGACAGTGATTCTAAACATTCTACTAGTCTCCCTAGGGCCGAGTGTAATATCTTATCTTGCTATCTTGCAGACAAGAGGAGTGGATTTTATACCCTTTAACTACAAACAAATAATATTTACCATATACTGTACCATATGTTTATGATATATATTCAATTATTACCTTTGGTAGATTCCTATGTTAAAATCATTACCATTTTTAGAATTAGTTTGATCATACAATAATTAGGATCGATTGGGACCAGAATCTGGCTTTAAAAATTATCCAGATTATTTAAATTAACCATCTTGAAAAAGGCCAACATGCACTAGATGAGTAAAACACTTTTACCTAACCCGCCATGTTAAACTTCCCTATCCCAAGCGTGATGTATACTACTTCTTTACTTCACGAGTGATGTAAAGTTGAAAAAACTCACTCGGTGAGGTAATGAAACCCATTTATAGCTATTTACATTACAAGTGTAGTAAGGGCGTTTTTACATCACGTAGGTGAATGTTGTGCAACGAGCGAAGGCGAGTTGCATAATTCACCGAAGTGATGTAAACACGCTCTTGCGTAACGTGTAACGTACAAGATTTTACCTGACCCGACAATATTCAGGAGGTTACGAGCAATATGCTTCATTATCAATTTCACTCATCTTCTAACAGTAACGTTCATTTACAAACAAAAGGTAGGTTAGGAAAATTCTTCAAAGCATAACAATAAAATTCAAACACACAGCTGATTTCTAGCATTGAACGTCGTTGGCTCCATAGAGGTATATTTTTTAAGTTATCCACTCAATGTTATTTAAATGGGTTTCATTACATCACCGAGTGAGTTTTGTTCAACTTTACATCACTCGAGAAGTAAGGAAGTTGTATACATCACGCTTGGGATAGGGAAGTTTAACATGGCGGGTTAGGTAAAATAACATTGAGTGCTTAACTTAAAAAATATACCTCTATGGAGCCAACGGCATTCAACGCTAGAAATCAGCTGTGCGCTTGAATTTTATTGTTATAATTTGAAGAGTTTTCCTAACCTAGATTTTGTTTGTAAATCAACTTTACTGTTAGAAGATGAGTGAAATGGATAATGAAAAATATTGTTCGTGCCCTCCTGTATATTGTTGGGTCAGGTAAAATCTTGTACGTTACACGTTACGCAAGAGCTTGTTTACATCACTTAGGAGAATTATGCAACTCGCGGAATGCGTGATGTAAAAACGCTCTTACTACACTTGTAATGTAAATAGCTATTTAACATTGTACATTTTCTTTCATAGATACATTTTCTTCATAGATACAGTAAAGGGTCTAAAAGAGAGGTCAATTGAAAAATTGGCTTTGTTCTAGCACGGTTTCACATTTAATTTATGACAACAAGTTTAGAGTGTACAGTCAAAATATCAGACACTACATATTTGAGCATTTAAAAACAAGTTTGATACGCTTTTGAACTAGGGTAGTGGTTCGTTTTAATGCTGCTAAACACTTAATTTGTTTTAAAAGATAATTCAAAATTTTATTTCTTACTTGAGACGAATCCAGATTATTGACAGTACAGATTTTTTACGTCCAAATTATCACATTATACTGTGTTCAAGTATACAGACTCTTTAACCAAGCCAAATTTAAAGGTCAACTTATTGTAAAAAGCATAGTTTATTTATATAATGTAGTAGAAGGATAAATTTGTGGGGCGATAAACTCAAATTCAAAAATAAAAATGCATTATTCAAATACAAAATTAAACAGTGCTGTAGGTGGAATCGTTCCTGTCACAAATACAGATAACAGTTTTTGAGACAAATAAACTCTATGTTGATATTTCAGAAAATAATAGGCTGGGCCTAAAATGTGAGAGTTGCTTAGTCCTAAAGT